TTCCTCCAACTGATGTCAGTCTACGATGAATAAAAACTTGAAATATTTCCAAATCTCCACAACTTCTCTCTGAACCAGCTAGTGTAACGTTAGTGGTGGAAGGATCAACCCGCCCATTTGCAAACAACCTCATTTTCTGCATCTTAGTCCACACAGATCTTCTCTTTTATATTTCGATCCAATATTGTACATTCTTTTTACCTGACTCTTCACCAGTCAATCGTTGACAATTAGACATTGTTATACACACTACTTATATGCATTCTTATAAGTAGCTTCGCCCATATTGTGAATGACTTTTAAAGTAATTGGATTCAACGTATAAGGTGTTTTTAACTTATATAATCCCGGTGTTAGTATTTTGGAAGTAAATATTTTGTGTTATTCCTCAACGTTTCGATCTTGACAGGAAGATTCTTTTCAAGAGTATTGCGTTGAACGTTACTTTTGTTGGTTACTTCTGGAAACAATCGATTCTTACTCAATATCTGCTATTAATTTCTTATGGGTTCATTTCTTCATTGAACATGAAACTCATTGAAGAATTGGATGCTCTACTTAGTTCTCTACTTAAATGGTGGAAAAACTAAAATTTAACCAGAACCAATACCAAATTTGATTACCCAATGTAAAGGCTAAAATTACTTGTTTGTGTTTAACAAAGACAGAAAGATAGGTGACTGAATCATTCACCAGACAGTAACAGATATACATGTCTAGTTCTTAGCACCAGTACCGATTGAAGTCTATAGATCACGTTCGCAATGCGGCCATTAAACTAAATGACAAGACATTACATTGTATTGTACTTATATATTATTTAGGTTACGACTGATCTTATCAAAGTGAAGTGTTAAAGTAGTACCCGTTGATACAACAAGGATATTCAAAAGTTTTTTAGTAGAATCTTTGTAGCATCTGATAGGAAATATAGTCAGCTACACAATATTTCCAAGTGTCAAGCCACAGAAATCTACCTTTTTTATCGAGATATGGGAAAATTACCAGGTTAATAGGTTTCAAGCTCAACGTAAAACCTGAAAATACCAATATCACATGATGAGTAAAATTTGTTCCATAAAGAATTAGAAAAACTACAGATAAGCTGTGAAAAATGAATAACCCCTAACTCTCCCCTGATTTGCACGGTGTTGGAAAGGTCTTATCTCGAAATAGTGTCACCTAGAGAAATCTTCAAAAGAGAGGACACGTACATCTGTTCTATCATGTTTCGGGACTTCCCAGGATCGATAAGACTACCTCAATTGATATGAAGTTAGTAACACTAACGTTTTATGATCTGCCAGTCACTTGACATCGAATAGTTTATACCTTCGAATTCTTCTAAACTGCGGTCATTTCTGTCCTATAGATTGGTTCACCCTACAGACTATGATTGTCTATTAGAACCTTGAAAACAATTCATATCCAAGCTTCCGAAAGATAAGTAACTGGTAAACTCAAGTTCTGACAGCACTTTAAGAAGATGGAGAATAATTGTAGCTAAAGAGGATGATTTTGATAGTGTTGTGTTCTCTGAGCTGGAAGGTTTAATCGTGAAGCTTTCATCATCATTATCATCCTAGACAACATCACCCGCACAAACTTCAGAGAGAAGTAAGTTATAGGGTTTTCTCCATAAGTGGTTTGGTAGCTTGTGTGTGATTGGTTGTTTAATGATTGTTTTCCAGAAAAGTGGTTATCCACTCAATTTCATTAAAAAATGTTTGGATAATTCGTCGTCAACCAAAATATCAGCCTTGGGAACAAATAAACGGGTTGTCTTACCCCACGTAAAAAAAGTCTCCAAGATCGCGACTAGATTACTGAACCCTTTGGAATCACTGTAGCTCACAAGCCAACAAAATCTACTCACTCTAATTAATGTAGGCCAAAAGATGCAATAGCGAACGAAGATAAACTAAACATTTTCGATAAAATACACTGCAGAAACTGTAAAAAATACTATATCGGATAGAATAATCGCCAGCTTCGTATCCGTGTACATGAACATCAACTAGCAGTGAAGTATCATGACATATCTTCGCTCATATCAATGCATATGGGCAACTGTGGATTCAAGTTTGACGGGGGAACTATGGAAATCCTGGATTGAGGAAATACAAAAATGAGAAAGAATTTTTAGACTTTTTGTATTCAGGTCAGTCAGTGAGCAACAGATATATTGACATTCACCCAATCTATCAACCAATAAGACACAACAAGAAGGTCAGAGTTTATATCAGCAATGCAACCAATCGAAATAAATATGGAGGCAATGACAAGACTTTGATAGAAACAACCAATCACACACAAGGCCATCAGGACAAGCTACTAAGTCACTTGTGGAGAAAACTCTATAACTCACTTCATTTGTGAAGTTTGTGAAGATTATGTTGTTTAGAATGACAATGAAAGCTTCATGACTAAACCATCCAGCTCAGAGAACACAACACCATCAAAGCCTGACATTACTTAAAAAGTTATTGTTATGTGTTAATGAGAAACAGTCATGATAAAAACACTTGCAGTTAGGCTTGTATGGACTCTTCTGAGCAATTTAGTCTACCTAGGTTATTGTCCAACTACTTGAATATTTCAAGTTGGTATTCATCGTAGACCTGGGAGCACTGGACAGCTGTTTCCTCCTAGTGTGAGACTCCTCAGCAGTGAGCACCCATGAT